TTGGGGTCTCCTCTGACCCCATGTCTAACAGAGAAATCATCATCATCAATGAAGGCAATGTAGTCGACCTTTTCAGCTACGGAAGGGAAGCATCTATCTGGGCACAACTCACTGGCCCTAGTACCAAATGCATAATCAATTGAACGCTGATGGAACATCTCCAAAACTTAAAGGTTTTGAGGGTATTTGCGATATTTAAACAGGATGTTTAATTTCTCATCTTGTACACAAAGGAGTATCAGCCTTTTGTCACATATTCATTTGTCACCTTTCCTTCCGGATGATTACGAATCGAATGGTTTTGAATATCTATGTCATCGTTCATCTCATGGAGACATATTGAGAATTGCCCACTTTGTCGATCAATTTTTCTCAAGTTTTCGAATATTTGCGATATTTAACCATGATGTTCAATTCTGTCATCTTGATGAAAAGTATTGATCTTACTTTCTATTTCTTTCATAGCTATTCTAGTTGATTCTACCACATCTTCGGCTGTGAGTGCTCGCTTAGGTTTCTTCGTAGTAAGTTTAAATTTAACAAACACCCTAAGATTGTCCAAGTTTTGCTCGATGTCCTCCAATTTCTTATTTACGCGTCTCACAAGTCCATCGGATTTCTCTTGCATGTTTACAATCAGTTCTTGCCAAATATTTGCGTACCAGCCTTTAGACACCGGTTCTGCGGTTCATCTGTCACCTTTCATTTGGGAAAATTGATCCTTTTACATATCTATGTCATTATTCGTCTTACTTTCGTTGGTGGAGACACATTGAGACTTGCTTACTTTGTCCATCACTTTTTCTTGAGTTCTCTGACCACTAAATCATAATCTTTCTTCATCCTTTCATGTCCGTCTTGATCTGTTTACACTCGGATTGTAATGCTTCGGTTTCATCTATACTGTCTTTCACTTGTTGAATGACTCCCGGCCCTTGCAGCTTTCATGTTAGTGATGCTTTAGTTGTTTATGTAGAGATCTTCGAAAAAAATCTATCATGTCCACACATTCAGCACTATTGGATATTTCATTGCGGTCAGATTTTATTGGTGGAAGAAGCCGGAGTGCCTGGAGAGAACCACCGACATGCAGTAGGAAAACTAACAATTCTTATCAATTAAGATTGGAGTCGAATGCATATGCACGTGCGGGATTCGAACTCACAACCTCAGTGTCGACAGGCTAGTGATACAGTAGTTTATAATTAACTACTTAGACAATGAATTCGACTCTCTCTTCATAAAATCCGAGCTTGTCTACCATGATTTTTAGCAGCAACGAGAACACCACTTCGTCAAACGGTCGCCCTTCGTGTAGCTGTTTCAGCACACACAAACAGATGTGTACGTACGTACGTACAACACCGTTCATCGCATCTGCAGTTCATCGTGTTGTATTAGATCTTGTCGTAGGTACTCAAACATCTCCTCGCGGGGTTGAAGTCCCTAAGAGTCAAAGTACACCATTGTCGACTTGTTCATGAACCAACACGTCTAATGTGCTTTTGGACCAGTCGAAGTGGCATTGTTCAAGATACCACACTAATTCAGTCGTCTCGCATGAACAATCTTCCGAACTTAGGAATCCTTAAACATCGAAAAGCCTCCTTGAGTCCTATGTTTCACAGATCTTACCATTCACTCTTATAATTTATTTGAATAATGCCCATGAGCCAGGGTAGGCAAGATGTGTCGATTGTCATCCTTGGCTGAGAGTGCTACAGTGTTGAACTTCTTTGTGGAGATGTTGTTGCATCTCTCGTATTCATCGAAGGTTATGTCGCGCTTGATCACGTTCTTCTTGACTTCCGTGGCCCTCTAGGTAAATTCCTTGTCTATCTTGTGGGCGTATATATTCGCTCGAAGTCCTACGAATTCTGTCATTATTTTACCTCCGCTCTCATCCTTGAACATCCCGATAACCTTCTTGTTCACACCGGTCGTGATCTACGATGGATGATCGGCTGGGAAGTTGGAGGTATCGAACTTACCCTGGACCTGTAGAGCCATGTCCTTGTGAAAATCCTCCGTCTGGATCTCATAAGCAAAGATGTCGGTATCTGTGAGCAAGAACTTGGCGTTGTTACCATACATCTTACGCATGAAGTTATAGTGGAAGACATACATTTGGCTGCGGTATCCCAATTATTGTCACATTAACTTTTGTCTCTGTTTGGATTATCCACTCAATTTTGTCAATACAACAGATATATAAACTACTGTCATACAAGTGGGAGGTTAGGCTAGCTATACAACCAGGTTAAACCACCAGTTTCTTCGAAAAAGTCTGTATCAAGTCAGGAGTATGGCAGTTGTTTTTCACTTGATCCGTTGATTGATAGTGTTTGGTTTTGTAAGTTTTTATTGACTGCCATTTTTTAATTTGCATTGGAGATCGGTATTTTTGTTATACATTTTTAAGGTCCACTTCAGATCCAAGATACAACTTCCCAAGTAGATTGGTTTTTCGAACTTAAGCTTGGTCTTTTTAGTGTGAATAGCAGCCATATTTACGTTTAAGACATTGGCTTATCAAAGTTTGACTGGGACCAGGGTCACGATTTTCATCATCTGTTTCTCTGTTGTCACCATAATGTCTGTCAACAGCATCACATCGGAAAAAAAATGTAGAGGTTGTGATAATCACACTTGTTCTTACACTCGGACTTGACAAACACCTTTTGTGCATGATCGTAGTCCTATTGAGTGTATTGTAAATGTCTTCTTTGTATGGCAGTTCAGTCTCCCTCAACCACCTCTTCTAACCATCAACGTAATCATAGGGTAACATTCCATTTCGTAGCAACAAATCGTTATGTACAACACAAGTCGTCTTCACCATCTTAGACTGATCCTTCCTCAAGATCTTTGCCAAGATGCACAGCGTGTTCCGCGTGGAGAGGAATGAATCTATGAACCTCATTCCATGTCCGCTGTCTTCTTTGAAAAGCTATTGCACATCGATGTTTGGTATGCAGTTGAGCTTAACTTCACCGAAACCCAACTCCTTCACTGAGAGATGTGTATCGTACCCAATCCAGTTGTGGAACAAAACCGTGGTAGTTTGTACTCCGCATTACAGCTGTCGTGTGCAGCGCCTCGATATTTCCCCGTGAGATGACAGACCATGCTAGATTCAAAACATACCATGTCTTCCTCAGTCATCACCATCTCTTTCTTGTCACGGTAAATCTTAATGATGACATCTACCTCATTCTTCATACGCTTAAAGAATTCCTTATAGTCACAACGGTTCTTGGTAGAAAACTGGTGCTTTATAGACCGTGGCCCATGTGCGTACTTCACGTAATAGCAGAACCCGATTGTGTGTGATATTGATATTTCTTCGTGTACTCTTCGGGTACTTTGGATATTTTTATAACTCAAAATACTTTATCAATGATCAGGACATTGAACTTGAAATAAACCAAAATTAAAGAGCAGATTTGTTCTTACATAACGTTTCAATTATAGAAGCATCCTTTGATATTGACAAAGAAGATATGATTTTATATCCAGGTCGACCGAAGAGCAAATACACAGAAAAACTTCGGCAATCCAATATTTATAAATATTACAATTAGTGACAATTTAAAAGCATATGATTTTATAGATTTGCATAGAAAAATTATTTAAAACTTATTCGTTAATAAGCATTATAGTGTTATCGTGTGTTCAAAATGAGTACTAATCACTTCATTAGTGTATGGATCTAACGCACTAGTATTACAGTAATTAATCCCGGTATAAAATAACTAGTGCAATCATTCCGGTACACAATCACTAGTGTAATCATTCCTGGTTCAAAAACACTAGTGTGAACATTCCTTGGATGACAAACTCTCCACTTTTTATATAAATCAGCTATACAAGATTCAAATACACTAAAAAATATTAAGCCACATGTTATATATATTTCCCCTTCAAAAAAACCTTTTTAGAACCTTAAAATGACTGGTGGATGTTTTACACTGGACCCGGATAGAAAAACCTAGTGAATTTTTGTTGGTGGATAAAAATCACTGGGGATTTTCTTCCTCCGGATAAAGTACACTGGTGGAATCAAACCACTGTTACACCTGCACCAGCATGTGATAGACGATATGCACGAAAGAAGTAGAATATAGCATGGACGTATGCAAAATTCAAAGAGGTTGCTGAATTGATCTACCTTATAAGAGTTGCTTTCTTCGCTATGAAAGTCAAAAGTCACATCTGCTTTATCTAATGAAAGTCCAAAGTTTGAAATTTGAAAAAAAGTTTATATTCCCACCTCCCTTTACTTTAGTATGATATATTCTAAATTCAAATTCGAGTTTTGAATTCAAAGCATTTTATCGTTCAAATATCAAAAGTACATTCACACAAAGGGATTGGACAAAAGGCAAAGCCTATATTCAAATCCTTTCCCATAAAAAAGTAAAATATCAAAAATACCGAACTCAAAGGAAAATTCAAAACGGAAAATCCTTTACCAAATGGTAAAATTAAAGCTCAAACACATCAAACGAGTTGAAAACAACTGTCATATTCCTGACTTGGTACAGACATTTCATTATGTAGAAAATGGTGGATTGAATAATGTACTAGTATTTGTGATTATTCATAGATAATGCATTATTGCAGTGAGTCAGTGGTGGAAACCCCCTTCTTGATAACTTTTTTTTTATTGTACATGCATGGATAATAAATACTTATCAGTGAACCCTTGCCAGTTCACTATATATACTTTAAATAAAAATGTCCAATATCATATCACATCAAAAGTAAAGGTAAAGAACTATTTAAACACGTTTAGATGATATTTACTCAGAGTCTTCTCATATTCATATGGTATATTCGTACTGGTAAAAGACATCTCGGTACGAATACAACTATGATGGTCTATAAAAAGACATTTTTAACTACTATATCCGTACGTTATGGTGAAATTCTTTTTCATTTAACATTTGGTCTTTTGACAAATCAATCCATCTTTTATTCACTCCACTGAACCGGAAGTGAAAGGATGATCAGCTATTTTTATCTTCGAGTAAAAAATTTTAATAATTGAAATGAGCTGTACAGTGGCCAGAGTGTCCCATAAAGCTGAAAAGAACTGCTTCATTGTCTTACCAAAAGAGTTATGCAAAACAACGTTAGCCACTGAAAGGGTAATCAAGACGAAACTTCGTAATCTTTCTACTTTCTGTTTCAGTTTCTCTTTAAAGGACATGTTAGTGATACTTCTCCTTCTCCCCCTTAAGTTATAAAATGTACCATCGATGTCCAAAATTACTTGCTGTTGCAAACGTGGACTATTTACCCAAAACAAACAGATAATAATAATTATCCACGTTACCTGTTACCTATTCTGTCAGTGTTCCAGCTAGGATTTCAAAAGGGCAGGGAGCCAATCATGAAAAGGGCACTTTAGAACGATGATTGATATTTTAAATAGGGCATGTCAAACATTGTCTTATGTTAACTGCAGGGGTTTCAGCTAGGAGTTTTGAGGGGGTTTAGTTTTTACGCTAGATGAAAATCAACCTTATTTTGGGTAACAGTATTAAAGGGACCATGCAAGGACGTATATTACTAGCTCAGTCTTCCCTAGAATATTTATGATGCATGGTAGGTCTAAGGTTAAGTTGCAATGCAGAGCGCAGCAGCGTTTTGTAGAATTATTTTTATTTCATTAGTGAAATGAATTGTGCATGTCAGTTAAAATATTACACTAGATCTGCAATACAGTCAGGAACAATTATACCTTACATTTTCTCCAGGGGCCAACCTGGATCCCAAAACTTTTTTCCAAGGGCCCAGTAGAAATTTTAAGGCCCTACCAGGGTATTTTTAGTACAGGTACATACTTATTAATAGTCTTGAATGTTCTTATAAAGGCAATAATATATGTTTGAAATGCCTAATACATGTACATGTAGCCCAGTGTTTCTGATTATGATAAAATAATAAATGAATTATAATAAAGAACATTGAGTTTTTCAGAATTAAAATCCATTAAACCATGTCTTTTCAGACTGTTAAACTTATATTTATAATATTATATATAAAAAATATATACCCCCCCCCCCCTTTTTTTCCATTTTACACACCCCTAGATGTAGAGTATTAAAGTATTATCAGTTTCACCCCAAGAAAGTATTTATTTTTAATGAAATAATCTTAGCAGTTAATCAAAATGAATTTCTTACTGTCTATAAATAACAATGAAATGTAACTGTTTCTTGTTAAAGGGGTTTTTCTGAATTTTCCCGCAAAAAAAGCACATGGCTTTCAACACATGTAAACAAAGCAGTCAATTTGTGATCATGGAATAGAGCTTTAATTAATTTAATTTGGATATAGATATTCAATGAAAGGTACAGTCAAGCATTGTTTTTACTTTCTTCTGGTTTAAAACTAGTTTAAAAGATCAATTGAAAAAAAAAAATCTTTGACATATAAACAACAGACGATCTACGGATACGTCAAACACAAATTGTTGTCTTTTGAGAAATATTGAAATTGAAATGCTGACTGACCGAATTTAATGAGAAAAATTATTACAATGGTCAATTATGAAGTTTACATTAACAGATTAATGACCCATCCGATGTCGATAAGCGGATTATCTGTAATCACAACTTATTGCACCTGCTGTAACTGTTAATTAGCTGAGGGTCATAAACTTGTCATAAATATGAAGACAGGTAGAATAATTGTATTTTCATCAAAATATTACGACAATAAAGGCATGGACTTAAGAAAAAGGGCAGGGCGTCTTAAAAAGGGCACAGGGCGTCAGAAAAAGGGCACAGGGTGGCACTCGGTAAAGGGCGGGCGGATCGCCCTGTGAAAACGACCTAGCTGGAACACTGTCTGTACATTCACCTTTATCAGATGAACCACTTCAGTAAGGCAATATTCTTGAAGTGTAGAATCCTTTATCTTTTGAATTTATGGCACTTCCATTTAATATAGAATTCTTCTTCATATACTTATATACACAAATGCACCACCACAACACTTTATTATATACAATGCCTGTATATACACAAGTCACAGTTAAAATCTAAAACTTGCTTGACTCGGCGATTGTCATTAGAGGTATTCCCGTAACAGTGTGGACAACCGTAGTACTTTTGTTGTTAAAAATACTGAATCATTTACCTTCCACTTGTTTGTCATCGTCTATCGATAAAAATGATTTTACTATGCTCACTTAGTCTGTCAGAGGCCTCCAAGTGAGCAGTGTCTGCACGTACCCGCATGCGGTTACGAATAGTCAAATTGCCATTCATAGGCTACGCGTACCCACATCCGGTTTTATAATAAAATGCCATCGGATCGGGAATGAAACGTGAAATATATATGGAATTTGTCGCAATTAGTGAATAAATTGATTAAAACTACTTATAAATATTTATATATAGGTAAGTGAACAGTTTTTCTCAGTTAATAAATATTCTTAAAATGGAAGAGAGTGATATACATGTGGGGAAGACATTTCAAAGTTCTCATGAATTGGAACAATTTGTTCAGAACTATCAGTCAATTAATTTTATACAATTGTATAAAAGAAACTCGGAGTCAATTGCAGCTGCAGAGAAAAGAAGAACTAGAAACACAAAAATTAAAGAAGAATTAAAGTTTAACAGAATAAATTTTTCCTGCATTCACGGTGGCAAAAAATTCCAAACAAGTTCGACAGGAAAAAGACCTAATACAAGGTATTTGTTTTAAATTGTAGTTTTAAATCGAATTTAAATATTATTTTTCATACTCTTCACTCGTTCTACACAAAATCCCCATATTATCTATAATTTCACGTTTCATTCCGGATCTGATGGCATTTTATTATAAAACCCGATGTGGGTACGCGTAGCCTATGATTGGCAATTTTACTATTCGTACCCGCATGCGGGTATGCGCAGACACTGCCAAATAATCACTTGTTACACATTTCGATACATAAAATGAAACTCTTTTCACAAAACTTTGAAGGAATTTGTTTGAAATATTCTTTATACCAGCACACACAACAGTTTCATTTTAGAGAATAATAAATGTTCAGATCTAATATCATTAAATAATCGAAAAATACATTTACACATTTGGATTTTCATTGTAAAAACTTTAAGTCGATTGGGTTAATTCACAAAATATCTTAAGAGAAAAAAATACTCCCACGTTGTGATCATTCAAGAGTAACATACCATTTATTCAATGCATAGGATTTGTTTGTGAAAAGAGTTCCGGACGATGAAAAAAAAATCTTTTTTTTTAACTGGATAATTTTCACATGGATCATCGTTTAAATCATTCAGTCATACAGAGAACTCATATGATTAGTTTGCCTTGGATATTCCAGTACTACACAACTCAATTGCCTCTATTTATGTATGTATCTGTATGTACATCTAATTAATTAAAAGACTTTTCTGTTTGTATAATGCTTTTATGTAAAGGGGAAACTGTTACGTCATGTGTGTGTGCTCCTTTTTGTCTCTTTGACCAACAATAGTTAGTCATAAACTAAATTGCAGTAGTCGTCGATATATCATTCTTGTATCACACAAATTTGGGTCTTTTACTTACAAAACTTATTTTCTTGTAACATATTTTATTATTGAAGAACGAATGTTGCCCGCTTTTTAAAATTTTTAGTCGTTTGTTTGTGTCTCATTGACATACAACCAGATCCTCTTTTCTTCGTATTTAAAAACATACAGGATGACATCAATAAGGACAAAGTTGATATATAAACTGCCGTCAATTATTGTGTGCGTGTGTAAATTGGGTCGTTTAAAAAAAAATGAATTGATTCTAAAAAAATAAATTGGAAAGGAAAAAAAATACTTTGTTTCAGAAAAAAGAGGAAAAACACTAATGGATTTACATTCAAAATTAGGGGCGAAAAAAATACGACACTAAGATTAAAAAAGCAATGTTCAGGTATGTGCATGAGAAAAAAAAACCAATCCCCCCCCCCCCTCACAAAAAAAAAAAAAAAAAAAAAAACACACACACACACTCAGAAAAGGAAGAATAGTCGGTGCATAATCATTATGCTACCAAGGGTTTTTCACAAGTATTGTAGTTAGCAGAAAAGTTCTAGTTTCCAAAATACACCAAACTATACATTTTACCTACTAGTATTTCGTGAAGTAAATGCAAATTTCATAAGGCTTGGTCCAAATAGCTTTTTACTGTCCAATATCTTGCAAGTACGAAAAAGACCGTACGAAAGTATATTTTGTCTATGTTTTGTAATTGCACAACTATTGAAAGTTGATCATGCATTCTTTCTAAAATAAAATTTTACACAAGATCAAAGTTAAAAGATACTAAGTAAAAAAATTAGACAACCGCAATGGGTTAATCGCTTTGAAGTCCGAAAAAGATAATAGCCAACACATAGATTGTAACTTTTAAAGCTAGTTAAATTAATTTTTATGTTTAAAAAACGTGCGATATCATAAAAATTGTTTATCAAAACATAACTAAAACGCAAGTAAAGAACGTTTAACTATTCAATATTAATCAAACCACAAAGGTTATTCCTGTACTAGTTTTTCGAATTATTTGATTTAGGCATTGAGAACCTTTGGTGACCCCACAGTTTAAATGTCTATAATAAATACGATGTGATAAGTGGGCATTACAGACGAACGTTCACCTAATTAAACCCACAGGTTTGTATTTGGGCCAAACTGCACCTTAAACCTGAGAAACATGACAATAAATAGTCTAAGATTGAGGGAACATGCATACATTTTGAAAGACATGCCGTATAGTTGACCTCTAAAAGTATGGAGAGCCATGGGAGCCAAAAAACGGTATTTGGGTAGAGGCCGTAATTTTATGTCCCCTGCATGGTATTGAAAGGATACAGTGCATCTATTCATGGCTCAAAATGTACTTGACAAAACAAAATAGCAAAGGAATGGTGCTTTAATTGCTGCTCTTCATCTTGATTTCACAACCAGGCTTTCAATATGGAGTAAAAGCACACTATTTATTGCTGAAAATTCAAGATGCATCATTTCTTATATGAATGAGAATTGTGATAGCTATAGGAAAAATAAATATTGGATAGTATAACAGACCACCACCTCTTTTTCTTTATTTTATCTGTACCATATGTAGTAAAAGTATGAAACATGCGCCTGTCCCAAGTCAGGAGTCTCTGGCCTTTGTTAGTCTTGTATGTTTTTAGTCCCCTACCGACGAAGATTTGATATTAGGTTTATTGATTTATCATAACAAATTACAGGTCAAGTTCAATTTTCATGATTTTAGATTTTCTCTTTGTTCAGCTAAAGCCCTTTCCCTAGAATTAAATTCTTGATGAAATACTTATTAAGGTGGCTGGGGCGTCTTAATTAAAATTCATAGAATTTTTTAATAATTTGTCAAAATGAAGTTTATATCATGCTTTTTTCAAAAATACAATAAAAAATATGGGTCACCAGACTCTTTTTCACGCTACAGGTTGTGCAAAATTGTCAGATTTTGTATAGATTATGCATGTAAAATCCAATTTTGTGTGATAAAAAAATAACTACACCATAGAATTTTAAGATAAAATGTGAGAAGATAGCTCTTATTTCATATAAGATAAGAAAAAGAAAAAATGGGGTCACCAGACTTGTTTTCTTGCTCATATTAAAATAGGTAAATTCACAACACTTTCTATTGTAAAATTACTTTATCTGAGTTATCTCCCCACCATCTGAGTTTTCTCCCCTAATTTGGCAAAGTTGAAAAAAAAATTAATCAAACAAACATAGTGTTATTTAGAAAATACAGCCGCAACTATGATGCAACACATAATTTTCTATGTTAACATTAGAAGTCTTACACATGAATTACATACATTGTACTACTCTCAGAATTTGCACATTTCATTAAAGATTTAGACCAATTGTTATCTTCTTCAAAATCCAAGATGGAGGAAGACGCCCGAGCCACCTTAATTAGTAGATTTCTGTTCAAAGGGAAATAACTCATTTTTTAAAAGACTTTTAAAAGACAAAATGACATTTTGGATTTTTTTCCTTTTCTTTGGTAAATTGTTTGAAGAATTTAGTGGTAGGTTTGTTTGTCATTCTTGAAGATATTGATTTGATTATTAGTATATAGTTTAATCATGACAAGTTACAGATCAAGTTGGAATTTTGTTCCAGTCTGATAATTTTGTACAGAGTTATGGTCTTTGGACTTAGAAAATTCACTTAAATAATCAGTTTTCAACAGTTTTTTTCGTCATGCTTGAAGATTTTGACTTGATATTTTTATGTAGTTTACACCATGACAAGTTATAGATCAAGTTAGAATTTTGTTCCACTACAATGAATTTGTAACCGGTAGGGGACTATGTATACGACCCATTGGTGGCCTTCGGCTGTTTTCTGCTCTTTGGTCAGGTTGTTGTCTCTTTGACACATTCCCCATTTCCATTCTCAATTTTATATATGGACCAAACTAATGTGACAACTTATAAATATATTTTGACAACATTTTGTAGATACAGGTGTATGAAGTACAGTTTGGCAGGGATGAACATGCTTATTTTACTGCAGCTACGGAGACAGGATACAAAGATGCAGAACTTCAAGTGAATGGAATTTATGCTGACAGACTTGGACTGAAGGATACAGAGGTAATTTTCTTAGAAAGAGTTTCAAAACAATTGTTTTTATATAGTTATGTTTGTTGAAATAAAACTCACACTTAGTAAAATATCCTCTTTCTCTCTGTACTTTTGCTTCCTTGGGCCACACCAATTTGATTAATAGTTCTTTGGATTTTCCCGCTCCTGTTTTGGAGAAATTGACTTTTCATAAAAAAAAAATTACCTCTTCCGCAAATTTTTGGTCCGCATGCTGCTCCAAAATTAGTTTCTCCTTGAATTTTTTTTTCACATAGACGCTTTTCTATTGCATACAATGCTCGTATCATTTTAAACAATGTCTGATAAATCGATTTGTAAATGAAAGGTAAAAAATCGGGATGCCAACATGCATGTGTCAGCTCATTGCCGTAGACAAGTAGTTATTGAACACACAGTTATCCGAAATGCTTCTCTTTTCAACTTTAAAGACCTGTTCTAGGATGCAAAAATTAAAAATCTTTCGTTAGATGACCACAAACACATCAATATTTGTTAGAACCATCATCACCCCCGATCCTTTTTTCAACAGGCATAGTCAGACCTACATGTATCTATCTTTTGGATGAAATGAATTGTAAATTCTCATGAACTTTTTAAAAAATCACAGAAGTATTTGATTGATGAAACCCCATATCCCCTTGTTAATCTTTTGGCATGCAAACAGAAATCTTCTTTTGTTGGGGGGAATTTAAAGAGTTCCAACGAGACCAAGGTGATGCCGTATTGTGATTGGCATGCTCATAATAATTAGGGGTGTTTAATTGGTTCAACCACTTCTAGTTAAGCTAAAGAGTTTTAAATGCATTACAGCTTTTAGGAGCAAAAGGAAAGAGTATTTTGCTCAGTAAGAAAATGCATGTGAATGGGGTGACAGGTATTTTAAGGGAATATTTAAATACATATTTACATGTATAGCAATATAACTATCTTACTCAGGACATGTCGGACAATAACTCAAAAACGCTTTAACCAATTTGCATGAAACTTTGGTGAATTGTTTTATATCTATAGACGTGAGCTCCCTTTTGTTTTTTATAAATTTTAGATTTGACCTTTCCCAGTTATGGGGGTTTTATTCATTAAAAAAGGGGGATTTTCCAGTTTTCAGACAATAACTCAAAAACACTTTCACCAATTTGCAAGAAACTTTGATGAATTGTTTATATCTATTGACATGAGCTCCCTTTCGATTTTTATAAATGTTTGATCTTACGTTTCCGAGTTATGGGGTTTTATTCATTAAAAAAAGGGTGTTTTTCCAGTTTTCGGACAATAACACAAAAATGCTTTCAGCAGTTTTCATGAAACTTTGGTGAATTGTTTATATCTATTGATGTAAGCTCCCTTTCGAGTTTTATAAATTTTAGATTTTACTTTTCCGAGTTATGAGATTTTATTCATAAAATGGGGTGATTTTCCAGTTTTCAGACAATATCTTTAAAGTGCTTTGAGCAGTTTTCGTTAAACTTTGGTAACTGGTTTATATCTATTAAGATAACCTCCCTTTAGTTTTTTTAAATTTCTGATATGACATTGAGAAGTTATTGAACTTTATTCTTTGAAAAAGCGACAGGCGTATCATGCGCTCATGGCGCAGCTGTTTATTTATATAGATTAGACCGTTGGTTTTCCTGTTTGACTTATACTTTGACCTATAATGGTTTACTTTTACAAATTGTGACTTGGATGGAGAGTTGTCTCATTGGCACTCATACCACATCTTCTTATATCTACTAACTAACATACTTCTTCTTGTAAAACTGCATCTGCAATGCTTCCTAAATATATATATGGATTTAAATGAAAATTCACACAGACAAAGCTTACTTGAAGAAAATAACCAAAATTAACTAAACCACAGTGAGACAAGAAAGTCTGATATGGTGCAGGCACCAATAAATCAAATTATATGCATTAGAGCATCTGTTGCTCCTCGTTTTTCTATGAAATAACCCAGTTATAACATGTACTTAAATTGTACAACTTCTAAATCACACAATTTAAAAAAAAAATTATACCGCTCGCTTCACTTGTAGAGCACTCGCCTAAAAAAAAATCGTTTCAAAAAATATATAAAAACAAAAAAAATTCGCCTGCTCGCCCAATATTTTTTGGAGCTTTTGTCCTAAGAGCTATTAATCAAATTGGTGTGGCCTTATCATAATCATTCTCATTTTATTTATTTTTCAAGATGCACTAGCACAAAACAAATGATTTTTAAGAATTTATTTCTTTTTTTATGTATTCTTCTTCTCTCATTGCCCTTTTTATGGTACCTAGTTTTACCATATTCTGCCAATTTGTCCCTCCAAAATACAGCCATTGTTCAAACTTTTTTGTTGAGCCTACATACATTATGAGCCTTGTATGTAGTTGAATAATGAGTTGTGTTTGTTTATTTTTCTGGTATTTAAATTATAAAATGAAATTTCTGTGTCCAACAAATTACTGTGTTAACCCAAAAATATAGTGTGTTGCTTCAATAATTTTTTCATCAAATGTTCATATTATTTGATAAAAATGATATTCAACAAATAAGTTCTTATAAATATGACATAAAATGTGCATAAAATTAGAAATTCCATTATTGGTAGTATTGAAGCAGTGTGTGAAGTCAGTATTATATAGTCAGTTTTATCATGCAGCAAAATGTTTCTAGTGAAATTGTCATCATTTATTGACTTAATTTTCCTGTTTAACATTATACATCTTTTTGTTCTCAGTAAATGTATACACAAATTATACACAGATTTCATAATATTTTATTGTACATGATATTTTAATTTGTGCTGAGAATTTACCATTCTATTAAGAATAAATTGAAAATCAAGACTGTTTTTCAGGTATTGGTTAGACCTATTAGTGCCGTGTCAAACTCACAGAAAGTTTTTATAGAACCACAGTCAGTTGATGATTGGGAGATATTGGTTTGTATATTCAGCTAAATATTATTTATCATAAACAATACCAGGAAAATGGAGAAAATATACATGTTAGATCTAGCCAACGTTTCTATGACTGTTCTTTCTCTTGATTGATTGTTGGCATTTAACACTTCTTTCAGCACTTTTGTCTTTATCATGGTAGCCAGTTTTTATTGATGGAAGAAGCCAGAAAGCTGGGAGAGAACTAAGTGTTGACAGGCTAATAATCTCTTTAGATGAACTACTTAGACTGCTCAGCAACTTAGGACTCCCCTCTTCCTCTTAAAGAGTTGCTGTATTAGTAGTTACTGAGTTTTTAAGCTAGATAATATCTACACCTCGTCAGTGTCTGTCTTTTATTTTTTTTTTTACTATTTCTATGGTATTTATGAAACATCTATTTTCTTTCATTGTTTAAATTATCCATATTATATAAGGAGTAAATTTTAAGTATTATTATATGAAGGTGATGACACTACCTTCTGATTTGAATTGTCTGAATTGAGATTTTAAAACATTGAATAATGAAAGTCTACTACACATGTATTTAAAATTTTGTACACAAAAGAAAAGGGAATATTGCTATTTGTTACATAAGACCTTAGAAAGTATATGTTTCTACCTGTATAAATAGGTTGATAGTGCTAATGTAAAGCTCATTACAGTCATCTTGGAAATAGCAGTATGCAAATTCCTCCCAAATAAAAAATGCAGAGAAAAATAAATATATTCGAGAAAAAGAGCAATCAGAAGGTGCCATGTGGAACGTTATTTTGAAAATAAAATTCTGGGTATTCTTTAGATATATTTAGATTGTTCTTTTTCACTATTGCAACCATGCTTTCAAAACAACTAGTTTTACATTATTCAGGAGCGGCATGCTCAGTATGTTGAAGGAAACTTGATGAACCAGATCAGAGTTGTCTGGAAGGGACAGGTGTTTCCTTTCTGGGTAGACAAAAACGTACTGTTTTTAAAGATTAGTAAGTTAAATTAAGACAGTAACTTAAATTAAGACATTTTAATTTACGTTGCTTGCTATTGAAAAGTTTATGAAAATAAGTGTGACAAATGTTATATGAAAAAAGATGGAATATTGGGTATTTACTAATGAAAGAAGTAAATATTGCAATTGTAGTTTGTTAGAATGGAATTCAATAAAAAACACAAAATGCACAGTGAGAAGATTTTTATCTATTGAGTGACTGTACATAGGAGAAAGGCATTAGATATAAGGAACAATGATAATCAAGAGAACTGAGTATATAAAAAATCAGGAAATATTATAAGTAGACAACAATAAAAACATTACTTTTTTTAATTTTCTTCATCATGTAAGTTAGTGAAAAGGTCTTCATTGACAACACAGAACCAACTAACTAGCTTGCATTGTACAAAAAATTGTTATATAATGTCAAAAAGAATATATAAATTAAATTTGAGCAAACCAGTAATTACGTTGAAAGCTAATATCCAGTTAAAATGAAACAATGTGAAACAAATCCAAATATAAGTGTATATTTACTAATAAGGTAAATGTTATACATTTTCATCTTTATAAGTAAATGTTAATATGCATTTTCATATTAGATTGGTAATACATGAGTCATTTAGTGCTGTTTTCAACAGGTTAATATTTTTCACCTTTTCCACAATGACAAATTTTTGCTATTGTTAGTTATTGTATAATTTAACAATGATTGTAAATAAAAATGTTTATTAACCAGGTTTAACAGAACCAAATGAAAATTGTGTGATTTTGCATGATGATACAGAAGTCAACATCTCTCCTAAAGTAAGGAATAATCCCAATGGACAAAACCTTAACCAGTCCAGTATCTCAACAGATTCTGTCAGAAAGTCATTATCCCCCATTAGAAGGAACACTTCACCAATCGTTCCAAGAAAAGCTACCTCTGTGCAATCACGTCCTACAAGCTTTAGTACTAACAATATCATGCCAAATGAAATTAGACCAAAGAAAAGATCAAGTTGGAATCCGTTCAAAATTGTAACTGGTTTTCTTTCTGCAACTGGTGGTTTTGATGGTGGAACTCATTTCTATGTTCCACAGACATCTGTGGATGATGAAGAGGGATGTGGGAATGTTTCTAGGACTCCCTCAGTTTCTCCTGAAAGGAAGGAAAGTTTCACCAGAGGTACATGTTTTGGAGGCTTGAATTTTAAATTTAGAGTGCAATCTTTGAAGGTAGATTTTGACTCCAATGATGAAATGTCATCAATAGAATCAGAAATTGATGGTATTTCAGAGGATGACTTTCGTTCAAAACTTTATCTCAAACAACCAAACATTGTGTTTGTAAACAGTGAAGACATCCAACAACAGATTAACAGTAAAAACATCAGACTCCCTGATATTTTCTATGCAAAATTAACTAGGCTAGATTCACCTAAAGATATTTATGCTAGAGCAGAAGAGGACTTAGCAAAACAGAAGAAAGAAAAGCAAGATAAATTAGACCAGTCCTCAGACTCAATTAAATCTAATAAAAGTGATAGAAAGGATAAACAGCTGAACTGTATTGTCCGTGTTGTGATATTGACCAAGAAAGGTCTACATTCTGAGCCAGAATACGTAGATTTGATAGCACACATGTTAGAGGAACAGCCTTGTTTGAGAGGACATGTGATTGTTCCAGATTTATTACGGCGGTTGATGAAGTTAGACGTGACACGACAGATTTGGTTACAGAGTATAGATGTAGAACCATATCCAGCCCTGGCATTTGATCTCCAACCTGTTACTAGTCTTGTATGTATAATATATATGAAGTGATTAAGTTAAAAATCTTCCTTAATGGTGCTTCACGATAAATGATAGATGGTATTCCTTGTTGATTTACTTTGTAAGGAGGAGATGCATAAGGGCCTTCTTTGGTTAAAAAAATAAAGTACAGATATTACAAACTCTCATGAATTGTATGACAAAATAATTCAGTCATAATAACGACCATATCTAAATGGTTTTAAGTATATTTACCAAAATATTATGGTATTTTTTTTTTTTTTAATTTTTTATGGAAAAAGACAAAATTTGCTTATTTATTACATAAGTTTGTCATTTGGAAATACCAGGTGCATGCAAGAACTGTTTAAATAATTATTAGAGATGTATTATTCATATTAGCAAAATCCATTTACTTTCATTGAATACTAAAAAGTGGCATTTCTATAGCATCATATAATGAATGTCTTGGCTCCTAAACTAAGTCTTAAGTTTTGTATTACTGGAACCTTAATGTAAATATATATGGAAATCTTATTTGAAAAGTACAAGTATAGTGAAAAATTATTGCCCAAATAAGGCCTTTATTGCAATATACAATTTTCTTTTATTATATTTGTCTCCAATTTCTTGCATTTTGCATTAACGGTTTTTCAGCTATCTTTTGTGATCACAATGATGAAACTTAGCTCTGTTTTTGTGACAATATTTTTTGGGGAACATAATATTTGTGATGTTCATGTGTTTACTTGCATATTGAGAACGAAAAAATTATGGAAGAGACACTTTAATAAAGGATCAGGAATGCTTACTTGACACTTTAATAAAGGATCAGGAATGCTTACTTGACACTTTAATAAAGGATCAGGAATGCTTACTTGACACTTTAATAAAGGATCAGGAATGCTTACTTGAATCAAATATAGTCACTGTCATAAATACTCACATATTTATCATTAAATAAATTTTTTGAAAGGATTCAAATACAGTAGGATAACTCTGCTGATTAAAATCATACTATGTAGTTCATTGTTTTTTTCTATCATTTTACTGTATTTGATTGATTGAATGATTGGTGATTGCTTCCTCAACATCCAGTGGCATATTTGATTTGAAATCATGGACATACATGATGATAGTAATTACAGAGGTATCATAAAATTTATTCAAAATGGTTCTAAAACATTTATTTTATTCAAGTGACATCATATCTATGGATGATGTCAGGATTATCATTATTGTCATGACTCAGATAATATAGCTTCTAGACTTAACTATTCATTTGTTAAAGAAATTGTAAGAAATAGAATAATTAACTTTGACATTTGTATAAAAATCTGTTATCACCACTCAATAATTGATAAACATGTTCTTTGTATAATGTTCTATCATGTTCTGATATCAGTGTGTCATTATGAAGTCCTATTGTAGATATATTTTTTTTTCAGCCAAGAAATGTGTCAAATTATATGGTACAAGAAACATTTAAGAAATGGGTAAAGGAAACAAGTTCCAGAAATATTCCTTTTGTAATGTTTCCTGGGGTCATGATAAATATGCATGTTTTCAAAGGTAAGATCGTTGTAGAAATAGTTGTTGTTTTTAATATAGGCAGTAGCTTAAAAATCACAATTTAATATTTTATCTGGTTATTAAAATATCAAGCAATTATTATTGGATGCATATTGATAAGAAACTGAACATATTTTTTTGCTTGTCCTGTTGATTGATAAGGAACCAAACATATTTTTGCTTGTCCTGTTGATTGATGAGGAACCAAACATTTTTTGCTTGTCCTGTTGATTGATAAGGAACCAAACATATTTGTTTGCTTGTCCTGTTGATTGATAAGGAACCAAACATATTTGTTTGCTTGTCCTGTTGATTGATAAGGAACCAAACATATTTGTTTGCTTGTCCTGTTGATTGATAAGGAACCAAACATATTTTTTGCTTGTCCTGTTGATTGATAACGAATCAAACATATTTTTTTGCTTGTCCTGTTGATTGTAAGGAATCAAACATATTTATTTGCTTGTCCTGTTGATTGATAAGGAATCAAACATATTTGTTTGCTTGTCCTGTTGATTGTAAGGAACCAAACATATTTGTTTGCTTGTCCTGTTGATTGATAAGGAATCAAACATATTTTTTTGCTTGTCCTGTTGATTGATAAAGAACCAAACATATTTTTTTGCTTGTCCTGTTGATTAATAAGGATACCAATGATAAGTAAGAAGATACCAATCTATGTTATAGCAGGATAAATCTGAAAATATCAAGAGAAAAATACATAAACAAGATCAACCAAAAGCCACAAGACAGGTGTACAGAACAACAAAAATGGCATGTACACACAGTGAACACAAAAAACTGAAGCTTTTGGCAATACAAATTTTAATCAAACCCAGTAGTCAAATCAGGTGCTCAACAAATGCAGACTTATACTTTCAGTACATAATGCACTTGTTTATAGCAGTATAATAACTATTTAGATTCAATAGAACCTATTTAACTGTGTTCTAAAATGCTATTCAATCACAATGAATCAACCTTGAGATGATTTTGCTCCTACCAAGAACAGCTATGTTAATTTAGCAGGCTGCCTCTTTCGTTAACTTGAAAGGATTTTAGTTTGATATAAGTAATCTTGAATAACTATTTCTTTTAGATATAAGTATAGACATGCAGATATTATTTCATGAACAGAAATTAAATGAAAGAGAGGCTGCAGTGTACAGTTTGTTGCATAGTAATAATCTAGAGGACTTGTCGTTCTTTATTAAAACTCCTGTGAGCATAGACAATGCAAAATGGCCAATACTTCCTATGTTGTCTTATATGGATGTCAAAAGTTTTGATCCATGTTTTCCAAAGGAGAAGTTTGAGGACATGGGGTATGTTTATAAATTCAAAATATATGTTCGCTTTTGTATTTGCCCTGAAAAGAGAGGATACACTGACCATCAACGCATGTAGTTTTGTTTTGAATGAAGGCACTTTCTGCTGAATATAAGTTCTTTTTTATTTGCATACAACAACAGTGAAAAGCAAGCATTTTAGTTCAACATTGTTTTATTTTCCAGACAAGTCAAATATTTTGAAAAATGTCTGTCTAGTATATTAATGAATATATAGGACTTCGCTGTATTTTTCATCTGATGAAGAAAAATATTGTGGTTAAGATGATCTTTTTGACTGTGCTATTTCCTTAACAGGCACTTATTTTGACTGGGCTATTTTATTACTATTGGTGCAGATTAGAAAAAATGGCAATTAAGAGAAAGCACCCTGAGCCAACTTTTTTTTGTTATGCCCTGCCGCAGCAGAAGGGATATTAAGTGTTACCTTTGTTCGTCTGTACATCCATCTGTCGGTATGTATGCCCAGAAATGGTTTCCGTTCTCTAACTTTAGTTTGCCTCAACCAAATGTTATGAAACTTATACACAATGCTTATTACCACAAAACTCAGATTAAGATCGAATTTGGGTGGCGTCACTTTTACTGTTCTTGAGTTATGTCCCTTTATAACGTTAATATGCAAGTGGGGGCATCATCTGTGTCCCATGGACACATTCTCCATTTATTATTTATTTTTCTGTATTCTACTGCTAAAGGGAGCTACTAGTTTGGCAGTTAACATTACACTGTAACATCGGCAGCAGCAAACACAGGCGAGATTCAGGGTTCTTAGGAAACCGTAACAAGCTTTTTAGTTAGAAACTGCCTTATCAGACACTTGTGCACTTTGATTTAGAATGAAAGTAAAATTTCTGACGACTATTTATAACTATTGGGTGCAATAATGAGGGGTATATCAGGACTAAAGTATTCTGGTGTCCCTTATTATACCCCCGCAAACAAAGTTTTGGGGGTTTACAGGAATCATCATGTCTTTCTGTCCTTCTGTCTGTTTTTCTGACTGTCTGTCCCACTTTTTGACCACCATAACTTTTGTACCATTGAACTTTAAAAGTGACTGTGACTGCTGATGCCAATGTTACAGTGTAATGTTGACTAAATTTGCATACATGACATTTTTTTTAAAGTGGAGTAGAAGAACTAGCTGAGGAGGCAATTAATTCAGTAGAGATTTGCTTGTCTTCAAAACCACTTGGGGATTCCATGTTTAGGAAGATAACTCCTGGTCTCAGAAATGGAATGATCCTGATTACTGGACCAAAGGGATCTGGGAAGACCATGTTTGCTCATGCATTATGTAGGAAGCAGGCAGAGATACCAAACTTAGCTTATATTTTAAATATTGATTGCAAACCTTTACGAGGTGAGTTACCAGGAATTGTTTCATAGAAAATAGTTTTGGAGTTGCATTATTGTAGTCACATGGTATACACTTTTAGGGGTAAAAATTTGAACAGTCCATATCGAAACCAAACAGGCCAAGCACTATCTTTTTCTGGTACATGTATTGACTGTTTCTTAATATTCCCTATCTAGATTGTAAACATTAATGGTAAAGAATATTAAGTTATGAAATTAAATGTGTAAAAAAAATGTTTTGTATTGATAAAGAAAAATTAGGAAATATTACTTTAAATTAAATTGGAATTGACTTTTTTTATCACAGACTGAGACATGGAAGGCACCTTTATATAACCCTAGCCTACAGGACATGCTATATCAATCTGCAGGTCCGTGTTCATTATGTGGACCTTTTCACAAGTGGCTATTATATATCAGTAACTAATTTTTCTTAAATTTCATTTTGTTCACATAAATTAAATAATAATAAGGAAATAATTTATCATTGTTTTATATGGTTAAAAAGCATTGAAGGAAAACCTATTTCATTCCCTTGCTAAAATGTTGTATCGATGCTTTTATATCTTAATAAAACTTCAAAAGAGATTTTCTGGTTTTAATATTGTTAAACATTTGAATAGGTAAAAGACCTGATACCATACTTAAGATTTTACAGATGGCTTTTGATGAAGCTGCTTGGCGCCAACCCTCTGTAATATTATTGGATGATTTAGAACATGTGGTGCCAGCCCCTTCTGGACCTGAGGCTGAAATGAGTGGTGAAGCTATTTATGGATCTAGGGTAGCTGAAGGTAGTGAAATTATATAAATTTGCACTGTGTTGTACTATTTAAATACATTTTGATAGGTTTCTATTGTAACAAAGAATAAAGTTAAGTACAACTGAATAATATGAGTACATTTACTGGAACATTGTTTCCTTTTACAGAATATTGAATTATAGTTGAATGTAAATTCTGCTGATCTTGTCACAAGCTTTGACTAAAGTTATCACACGTCTTTGCATTTGCACAACAGCATGCCATTTAGAGTAGTTAGTAAACCCCCATTCACATAAATAGCATCAGCTGATAAAGCTTTAGATAAAATTATTATTTAAACCCATGGACTTAAGTAGAGGTGATTTACTGCTCTACTTCTGTATGTCTGTCAGTGTGTCCATCTGTCTGTCCCATGAAATAAAATTTTGACACGTTTTTCTCAGTATGTATGTTTTCTAACCAACACTCTTCAACGTCCTGTCTACTTAATACTTTTAGCAAGAGTGGCACATGCGAACAATAACTCTTATCACTCGTAAGCAATAGCTCGCAGTAGATTTGTAAGCAATAGCTCACAGAACATATTAATTTAGATGTTTTATTGACCACATGGTTTGTTTTCAATTGTACCACAGGGAAAGTGTCATTTTATTTAATGCTTTCAGAAAGTAAATAAAATGTCTTCTTGTTATTAAATCTCCAACAAATTTAAGTTCTGTGGATTCATCTATTTTTGTGGATACCAATTTATGTGGATTGAGGAAAAGTTGTGTCTTTTTGGATATTTAAATTTCGTGGATTTGCCAAAGTGTACATACTAGCCAGTTGAAAATTGAAACTTTGGTGGACATTTAGATTTGTAGTTTGTACCCACAAAATCAGCAAATATTGGTACCCCACAAGTGACAATGAATCCATAGTAACTAATTATTCTTCAGTAATTTGACAGGTTTATTAATTATACTAAAAGCTTAAAATTACAAATAAGTATTATAATATTATATAAGTTATTTTCTAGCTGAATTCTTCTGAATTTGTGCTAAGACCCAAAGAATTTATAAATACAGACACAGCTGTATTGTATACTTATTTTTTTACTGGTCCAATACATCTTTATTTTGTATTTGGCCCATTGAGCCTTTTTTTACTGGTCCAATACATCTTTATTTTGTATTTGGCCCATTGAGCCTTTTTTAACTGGTCCAATACATCTTTATTTTGTATTTGGCCCATTGACCAAAAAGATTGATTGAGATATCAGCAGGGCAACATCTTCATTGCATTATTCCACTGATGAGGGCTTAAATTATCGTATTTAGTAATGCATTGTACATTACAAGTTGAATACAAATTTAATCCAGATAGATGGTGTAAATTCAGGTACTTAGACAATAAGAACAAGTTGGATTGTAAAATTTAAAAGATATTTAGACCATTTAATGTTTAATGTCTTATTGCATTACAGTATTAAGGGATTTACTAAGGAGAGAAATCTGTGATGGGACAAGAATTGCTGTGATTGCCACCACGGTTGCTAGAACTTCTGTCAATTCCTTATTGGTGAACTCTAGAGGAACTCATTTTGTACAGACCACTCTTGCCATTAATCCACCAGATAAGGTAACATTTAATGTTAATCCATTGAATGCATGTTTTATATTTGTTCATTGATATGAATACAATAATAGCAAATTTTATATGTACATGTATTTGACTCAAAATCATTTGAAAATTTGTAACAACATTACATAGCATATATATGTTTTAGGCATACAAAAACACAAATGACTGTACAATAGGAATTTTAAATTTGTCTAATTTTAACTATGTTGGTTGTAGGATTTACCCCAAAATTTGCTCTTCACAAACATTGCACTGTCCATGTATATGCATTTACAAGGCTGTAAATTATGAAAAATGAAAATAGCTTATATTTTACTGCCCCTTCAGAGACCTTCTAATCCTCAAACCCCAAACAAAACATGAAGTGAAAAAATAGCCCAATACACAATTTATGAGATATAGATTTACTGCAATGAATTGTACAATGAAATCAAATCCTACTCCATATTTCAGGTTAAAGCATGGTGTAATACAAGTGATTAATTTGGGCAGGTTCAATGGTTCTATAAGTATTTTGATGTTGGTCTGCTTTTGTAGCTATAGTTCATCTAACATCTGCTTCAGATACCATGACTTGGCATCTGTAGACATCGACCATTGATCTACAAAAATGCCAGTCTATATGAAACCATGAATTGTGTCCTTGCAAAAGTTATTGACCTTGATGTCAAATAAAAACACTCAAAAAGCTATATATTTGAAAATGTATAATGTGTTTCTGGAAAAAATGTGTTTTGATTGCAAAAAGTTGTCAGGCAATGAATATCAATATAGCATACTTTACCAGGTGAGTGATTTAGGGTCCTAGGAGACTACATTTGTTAAGTTTTCTGAATTATCAAGACATATTACAAATAAGTTGAGTTATTTTTTGCATTTTAATAATAATGAATTTACCTTATTCAGTAACTACATTACATAAAAGAGCATTAAAATGACTTTAAAAGTAAAAAGTAAATGGCAGATGTCTTAATAAATGTAAAAATGTATAAATCTGTCAAATTGTAACTTGAAAAATACTGGTTTTGCTCATTATTGAAGGTCTTACAGAGACCTCTATCTCATTTGGTCTCTGGTGGAGGGTTGTTTCATTGGCAATCATACCATATCTTTTTATTGTCCCCTGCGTAATGCGTTGCGGGGACATGGAAATACCAGGCGTCCATCCATCTGTCTGTCCTGTCTTGTTAGCGCTCTCACAGGTACAATTCTTGCTAGATTTTTATAAAACTTGTACTATAGGTTAATATCAGCAATATCTCGGACAAGTTTTATAATGGTGGCCATTCGACTTTTTTTAAAAGAGTTATGCCCCTTGGAAATATTAAATTTATGTGAAATGGCCTCGTTAGCACTCTCACGGGTACAATTTTTGCCAGATTTTTATAAAACTTATACTATAGGTTAATATCAGTGATATCTCAGACAAGTTATATAATGGTGGACGATTGACTTTTTTTAAAAGAGTTATGCCCCTTGGAAATATTAAATTTATGGACAATGGCCTCGTTAGCGCTGTCACAGGTACAATTCTTACCAGATTTTTATAAAACTTATACTATTAGTTAATATCAGCAATATCTCGGACAAGTTTTATAATGGTGGCCGATCAACTTTTTTTAAAAGAGTTATGCCCCTTGGAAATATTAAATTTATGGAAAATGGTCTTAATTGTTAGCGCTCTCATGGGTACAGTTCTTGCCAGATTTTAATAAAACTTATACTATAGGTTAATATCAGCAATATCTAAGACAAGTTTTATAATGGTGGAGGATTGACTTTTTTTAAAAGAGTTATGCCCCTTGGAAATATATAATTTATGGAAAATGGCCTCGTTAGCGCTACAAAAAAAAGTGTTTTATTTAGTTATTGCCCTTGTACCTTGGATAGATAAAATATGTGCAACGAGGGGGACATTGGAACTCTGTTCTTTTATTTATATATATATAGATCCTAATAAAACATAAATTGTTGTAGATAAGAAGAAGGAAGATTATTACCTCCATTATTAATTCACGACCCGTAATTAATCCAGTCACCTTGGACAAGATTGACCTTGACTGGTTACAGTGTCGTACAGAAGGATATGTAGCTAGTGACCTCATGAACTTAGTCAGCAGGGCATTGCATGCTCATTGGTTAAAATATGGTTATGGTAATTTAATATTTTTTTTCATTAACATTTGTTGAATAAGAATAACAACTGTGGTTTCTTTAATAAATTTTGTTTGTGTTACAGAAAGTAGCTGTTTCAAGTTAAATAATGGCACGGTTTTGGTATCTATCAAAACAACTGACATTTCTTTGTAAATTGAATACTGGAAGTAATGGTTTCGTTGTTCTCATAAAATGAGAACAAATAATAGTACCTCAACAATGTGTAACTAATTTTGCTACAAAAGGCATCTAGAGGTTATAATAAAGTGTTCTACAATAAGAAAGTGTCTCAATCTTAAGACTCAATATTTTGAAAAATTACTTTATATTAGTTATCAGATGTTTATTTCATGTTTAACAAGGTGGAGATACAGATAATGGAATAACCCTCTACACTGATGAGTTCAAAGCTGCAATAGAAGGGTTCACCCCTGCATCAATAAGGAATGTATCTTTACATACAGCAGGGGAGCTAGGTTGGGATGATGTTGGAGGTCTAGAGGATATAAGAAGTATACTAGTAGAGACATTACAGTGGCCGAGCAAGGTTTGTTTTGAAAGAATTGAAAAACTTGATCTGCAACACAAAAGTTTATCTTGAGTTTTAGACATCAATTTTTATGAGTGTAGAATTGATTTTACAAAGTATAATGCTGATTTCCATGCTCACCTCGTGTGTTTCTGGAATCTATTTCATCAGGAATGCTCAAAACCAAAAGTTTGGAAATCTTAAAATATGAGACTTTAAGATCATAAGTTGCATGCAAAGTAAACAAACTAAAATGTACCTACTTGTTTAACTAATAGAAATAACTTTATATATTTTAGTATCCTAAATTATTCAGCAATTGTCCATTGAGACTAAGGTCAGGTCTGCTGTTATATGGTGCACCTGGAACAGGCAAAACACTCCTAGCTGGAGTTGTAGCTAAAGAATGTGGACTCAATTTTATAAGCATTAAGGTAAGGTTGCTATTTTCAGGTAAAAGAGACTATATCTTGTAACAATAATTCTAACTTGAAGCATCACGTTTTGTTTTATATTATGATGTTCAGGATTTTGGATTAAATCAATAGACCAAAACTTACCTGTATTACTGAGCTATTTTTATACATACAATCAGTATTGTTATATTTATAGGTCATTGTTCTTGTTCAAGACTCACTACATTTCACAGACCTAATTGAAAATCTAAGAAATGCTATGTTTCATGATTATATTTGTGTTTTCAGGGACCAGAGCTGCTTAATAAATACATAGGGGCTAGTGAACAGGCTGTAAGAGATACATTTCTTAGGTACTTATTGTTTAATCAAAACAACCAAGCACATGTTCAAAATGTAAAATGTAGACCAAATAGTTACATTATACACACAATATAAGATAAGATGATATTAGGGGTAAGCATGTTTAACAACCACAAACTCTATTAAGCTTTTACAGTCAACTATAACAGTTCACTTTTTATTTAAAGAAATTGGCATATTTTTACATATTTGAAAAACAACAAAATTTTAAACTGTGGAAAATACAAATTTTATAGAGAAACCGAAATAATAGCATGATACCATTCTTTTATTGATTGAATAAAAGAAAAAACTGATTTATAGGTTTATATGATGTACTTTTCAGAGCCCAGAGTGCCAAACCATGCATACTTTTCTTTGATGAATTCGACTCAATAGCTCCCAGGTAAGATTTTTTAGGCAGTTAAGCTGCCTTATGCTAGCACCCCAGATTTGTGTTCTTCCCAAAGAGTGCTGAAAAAAGTGCCATTGTTATTATCTAGCAGGCTAATATGTTATTTGTAACTAATTGGACATTTTTTTCATACTATTAATTCTGGAATACAAAAAATATGACAAGAATAACCTTAAATGATCGTCGAACAACCCATAATATATGAAGTTGCACATAGGAAATAGTGCTCAATAGAAATCCGTACGTAGTTTATTATCCCCTGTGCTTTTGGCTAAGATGTCAAAGAACAATTGTATGAAATATTTCATCGCCGAAAATCTGTAATTACAAGTCGTTTATATTTCCCAAATGGCAAAATGTGCAGGAATATTGTTCATGTACACCAAATCTCTAGAATAGAGGAAAGAAAGTTATATATAGTAGTCTAAGTTGGCGGTAATTTTAACTTACACGAAACGTAAGTTCGTTTGATTCTGATGATATAAAGCCCGATTAAAAGAAAGTATTGTTAATCATGATATTCTTTTAGTTAAAGAAGATTGTGATTATTCAATTGATTTCAGTTAAATGTATGCTCATTTAAATTCCTTTCTTTTATTAAATTATTCCATTTATCACTGACCTTGCCAATTGGTTGTTGTTATTTTATGAATGAAAAAGAACCGGAAATCGATGTAATCAACTGATTGGTCGATGTTTTAAAAAATGCGGGACAACTCGTCCCAGAGACATGTCGGACCGAGTCCACTCGGACCGTCTAAGAAGACAACTTGGACTGCTTGTCAGATTTACTTAGGTTTCATAAAATGTAAGACTAACATGTCTAGCGAAGCCATCAATCTTTCGTTTGTGCATTGGGGACTATTTAGGGGTATTTTGAGGGGCCTAAAGAAGGGAGGGGTTTACTGTAGAACCCTATGGGATTGTATTTTTTTTAATTTTCAAATGACTATTACTCGACTATAGTAAGTGATAGACACACATGGTCTTCAGTAATGAGAACAGGACAATAAAACAAATCAAATAAAATATAGGGTGAGTCCCTGGGGGTCATCCCACCCCCCTTCAATTTGAAAATGTGCTTTTATCTTGTAAACGGTCGCGATCCCCACCCCTAAACCATATATATACTTGTATGGGACAATAAAACAAATCAAATGAAAATAATTTGGGGGCGTCCCCGGTGTCAACCCACCCCCTTCTGTTTGAGAACTTGTAAACGGTCGAGATCCCCACCCCTAAACCATATATATTCATGTATGGGACAATATAACAAATCAAATGAAATATAGGGGGAATCCCTGGGGTCACCCCACCCCTCCTGTTTGAGAACTTGTAAATGGTCGAAATCCCCACCCCTAAACCATATATATTCATGTATGGGACAATATAACAAATCAAATGAAATATAGGGGGAGTCCCTGGAGTCACCCCACCCCCTCCTGTTTGAGAACTTGTAAACGGTTGAGATACCCACTCCTAAACCATATTTATTAATGACATACAGGGCCAATCTCCTAGGCATCACATATGCATATCACTTTACTAGACCAAACCAATGTGTACTGGATTTTGCCCAATGTCAGGCGACCATGGGAATGACGAATTATGGGAGCCTTGTTTGGGAGACCTCGTAACAGCATCCTGTTACAATTATTTCTTGTTTATTATAAAATTTTATTGATGCAAAAAATGAGTCTAGGTTAATTGAATTTTTTCGGGGCCTATACAAATTTTCATTTATGGCTCATTTTAAAGAAAACATATAAATCTTTCAAGCAGTGTAAAGCCCAAGAATGTTTCACCAACTGTTTTATAATCACCTGTCATTTTATTCCAAACTTGGTATGGAGTGATATCATGGACTTGGGGTGAAGTTGGGGGTCATTTAAATTTACTATGGGTAGGTCAGTCAGACCTCACCTTTGATCCCTGTAGTAGTAAACATTTGCCTGATTTGTGTCTCATAACTTTTGTACTGTAGAACCCAAACTCAGTGTTCCTTCCAGAGAAGCAAGTCTCTTCATACTATTACAAACTCGTACTATGTCAACTTGTACCACTAAAAGTCAACTTGTACCAAGGTTAACTACCAACTAGAACAACTGCAATCATTGCGAACTTGTGCCACTGCAGACTCAACATTAAAAATATACATTGATATATGCGTTGCTTTTGAAAACCTTGATAAAGTATTAATTAATTTGTCTTAATAATCAATTCATTAAATAAACATAAATGTACAATATATACGAATGTTTAATGTTTGTTCTTTCAAATCTTAAAAAAAAAATTGAAGTATCACTGCCACAGTTTTCATAATTACGTTTGCCTTGGTTTTTGGTTAACTGTTAACTCGCTTACAGTGCTTTGATTTTATTGTTGAGCCTGCGACTTTTGTTGCAAAAGCGAGACATAGTGATCCTACATTCCGTCGGCGGCGGCGGCGGCATCCACAAATATTCACCCTGTGGTTAAAGTTTTTGAAATTTTAATAACTTTCTTAAACTATCCTGCATTTCAACCAAACTTGGACAGAAGCTTGTTTATGATCATAAGATAGTATCCAGAAGAAAATTTTGTAAAAAAAAAAAATCCTGTTTTTCCGTATTTTACTCATAAATGGACTTAGTTTTTCTGCCAGTTAACATAACATTCACTCTGTGGTTAAAGTTTTTGAAATTTTAATAACTTTCTTAAACTATCCTGGATTTGTACCACACTTGGACAGAAGCTTGTTTGTGATCATAAGATAGTATTCAAAAGTAAATTTTGTTAAAAAAAAAATCCTGTTTATCCGTATTTTACTTATAAATGGACTTAGTTTTTCTGCCAGTTAACATTACATTCACTCTGTGGTTAAAGCTTTCAAAACTTTAATAACTTTCTTAAACTATCCTGGATTTGTACCACACTTGGACAGAAGCTTCTTTATGATCAAAAGCTAGTATCTAGAAGGAAATTTTATAAAAATTTATTTCCTGTTTTTCTGTATATTACTTATAGATGGACTTAGTTTTATTCCAGTTAACATTACGTACAGTCTGCAGTTAAAGTTTTTAAAACATTTATTAGATTCATAAACCTTCTTGGATTTTTACCAAACTTGAACAGAACTTCTTACAATCAAAAGATAGTATCTAGAGGAAAAATTTTTAATAATTTTTTCCCCATTTTTGTTGAGCCTGCGACTAACAGCAAAAATAGGCGAGACACTGGGTTCCGCGGAACCCTTACAATTTTTATACGACGGCAAAAATTAAAAATTTTTTGGTCGTATATTGGTATGACGTTGGCGTCGTCGTCCGAAGACACATTGGTTTTCGCACTCTAACTTTAGTTTAAGTAAATGGATCTCCATGAAATTTTACCATAAGGTTCAATACCACGAAAGGAAGGTTGGGATTGATTTTGGGGGTTATGGTACCAACAGTTAAGGAATTAGGGGCCAAAAAGGGGCCAAAAATAAGCATTTTTGTAACTTCCAGACAATAACTTGTGTGTAAGTGTATGGATCTCTCTGACATTGTACCACAAGATTCCATATCACAAAGGGAAGGCTGTAATTGATTTTGGGGGTAATTGCCTCAAAATTTTAGGAATTAGGGGCCAAAAAAGGGGCAAAAAACAAGCATTTTTCTAGTTTCATGACAATAACTTGTGTGTAAGTGTTTGGATATTTCTTAAATTGTACTACAAGGTTCCATATCACAAAGGGAAAGCTGGAATTGAGTTTGGGGGTAATTGCCCGAAACGTTTAGGAATTGGGGGCCAAAAAGGGGCCAAAAATAAGCATTTTTCTAGTTTCCAGACAATAACTTGTGTTCAAGTGTATGGATCTCTCTGAAATTGTACTGCAAGGTACCATACCACAAAGGGAAGGCTGGGATTGAGTTTGGGGGTGATGAATCATAAGGGGGTTCAAAAAATTAGGGGGGGGGGATTTTTTTTCTTTCTTTTTTTTTCTTTTTTTCCTTTTTTTTTTCTTTTAAAATTTTCCATTTTAAGTTGGTTAGTTCTGATTTATATTTAAAAGCAAATAATAATGATATGGTAGGAGATACACACCAAACAGGATGTGTAAATTATTATATAATAAGTATTGTGCAATAGCAAGAAATTTTCAATTGCACAGTATTGCACAATAGCAAGAAATCTTCAATTGCACAGTATTGCGCAATAGCAAGAAATCTTCAATTGCACAGTATTGCGCAATAGCAAGAAATCTTCAATTGCACAGTATTGCGCAATAGCAAGAAATATCCAATAGCACAATATTGCGCAATAGCAAGAAATTGTCAATTGTACAGTATTGCGCAAAAGAAGATACTTCGTATAAATTGCTTATTTCTTGATCAATTTCAATGGGGTTTTATTCTTGAATTCTTGGGGTTCTTTAATATGCTGAATCTAACCGTGTATTAAGTTTTTGGATTTTGGGCCCCGTTTTTAAATTGGTCCACATTGAGGTCCAAAGGGTCCAAAATTTAACTTTGTTTGATTTCATCAAAAATTGAATTATTGGGGTTCTTTGATATGCTGAATCTAAACATGTATTTAGATTTTTGATTATGGGCCCAGTTTTCAAGTTGGTCCAAATCGGGGTCCAAAATTAAACTTTGTTTGATTTCAACAAAAATTGAATATATGGGGTTCTTTGATATGCTGAATCTAACCATGTATTTAGATTTTTGATTTTTGGGCCCCGTTATCAACTTTGTCCACATTGAGGTCAAAAGGGTCCAAAATTAATCTTTGTTTGATTTCATCAAAAATTGAATTCTTGGGGTTCTTTGATATGCTGAATCTAACCATGTATTTAGATTTTGGATATTGGACCATAATAGGTGAATGTCCAATTTAAAATTTTTAAGTTCTTAGACCTCATTCATTCTGTGTCAGAAACCTATGCTGCGTCAAATATTTAATCACAATCCAAATTCAGAGCTGTATCAAGCTTGAATGTTGTGTCCATACTTGCCCCAACTGTTCAGGGTTCGACCTCTGCGGTCGTATCAAGCTGCGCCCTGCGGAGCATTTTATTTATATTATCAACCTGTTTAAATAATTAACATTCATGTATAAAACAAACTTGTATTTTTTTCAAACACTTAAATATTATTTTGGTATAAATTGGAATGCTGGTTTGTAACATCAGTTTCTATTTTTCAGACGTGGCCATGACAACACAGGGGTAACAGATCGAGTAGTTAACCAGTTACTGACACAATTAGATGGTGTGGAAGGACTTCAAGGTAACAAGAAAAAATAATTATTATAAAACAAAGATTATTTTACATTGAGTTGGGGAAAAGGAGGAAATACAAGGGGGACAATAAAAAAACTATAAATAAAATTAAAAAAAACTTATCAGAACAGAAAAACAGAAAATGATGAAAAGACTGACAACAGCCTTCAGAACACCCCCACAGAAAGCTAAACAAATATATTAGTAAAAACACCCTTTGTTTAAAAAATAAGTAGATATCAACTCTAGTTTAAACACAAATATTTTATTTTCTGTTTTCTGTTTATAGGTGTGTATGTTTTAGCTGCCACCAGTCGGCCAGACCTTATAGATCCAGCTCTTCTCAGACCTGGCAGATTAGATAAATGTTTACGTTGTAACTTACCAGACCTTGTAAGAAAATGAACTTTAACAATTCTATTACCTTAAAATTTGTAGAGTTTTCTATTTAAATATTGGTAATATTTTAAATCAAAAGTAAATATATTTAGAAGTTGCAACTGCACACCAAGCTTTCTGAAAGTATGTTGACATAAAAATCTCAGATACATGAAAAACAAAGTAATTGGTTCAGTTTAATTTGCCTTGATTTATATTTGAGTGTTCAGAATATGACTGTCTAACAAGAAGTTGTAGGAAAACAATAAAAATACAACAAAAATATAGAATGATAAATACATTTTTTACTGTTTTCTATATGGTAATTATGCATCTAAGTACACCTTAAAAAAGTGGTGATTTTAACAAATTTATCAGTGAGGTATTTTATTATTATGGGCATTAAGTTTTACCCTTGTCCATCTGTACATCTGTACGTCCGTCCATACGTCCATACGTCCCAAAGTTGGTTTCCGTTCTCTAACTTTAGTTTGCCTCAACCAAATGTTATGAAACTTATACACAATGCTTATTACCACAAACATAGATCAAATTTGAAATTGGGTGCCGTCATGATAATGGTTCTTGAGTTATGCCCCTTTATAAACATAAAAATTGCTTAATTTTTCGTTTCTGTTCTCTAACTTTAGTTTGCCTCAACCAAATGTTATGAAACTTTTACACAATGCTTATTACCGCTTTATACAGATCAAGTTTGAAATCGGTTGGTGTCACTTATATTGTTCTTGAGTTATGCTCCTTTATAAACATAAAAATTGATGAATTTTTCGTTTCCTCTAACTTTAATTTGCCTCAACAGAATTGTATGAAACTTATACACAATGCTTATTACCACAAAACTCAGAACAAGTACAAATTTGGGTAGCTTCACTTTTACCGTTCTTCAGTTATGTCCCTTTATATCTTTATATGATATGCAAGCGGGGGCATCATCTGTGTCCCATGGACACATTACACATTTATTCAATAATTATTGGTACAACAAATTTTCAAACAAGGTGCACAAATTTGTTAATTGTAAACTTTACTTTTGTAGAATGAAAGGAAAGCCATACTTAAAGCCTTAACAAGGAAAATAACATTGGGATTTGATGTAGATTTGGACAATTTTGCAGAGCAATGTGAAAACTTTACTGGTGCTGATTTCAAAGCACTTCTCTATAACGCTCAGTTAGAAGCCATTCATCATGTGACAGGACAAGCAAAGAGAGATAATTTGGACTTTTCACCTCAAAAGAGCCCTAGTTATCTTAGAACACGAAGAAGAAGCAGTAGTTATGGGTTTCTAGCAAAAGCAGCCGAATTGGAACGAGAACAGAAACAGTTTAAATCTGACTTCATTTACATGAAGAATCTGAATGAAGGTGCTACAGAATTATCAGAAGAAATGGATGATCTTTTAACCCAACAGGTTACCTTTTTATTAATATCAGTAAAAACTGCAAAGGATTACTTACATGGATATATTCTTCATTTATCAAGAGGGATTATTTTTTTTGGTGCAAATTGGAACACATTTTACATGAGATATTTACTGCTCTCAAAACCAGGGCCTGTTTTATTATTGATTGGGTGGATGAAGTTTGATACTTGATCCTCCTATCTCTGTCATTACTTAAAAACATTCATTTATTTTTAGAGAAAGTATTAGTGAATAAAAGCTAAGCCTGTAATGCTTTTTAGTAATATTTTATTACTTCATAATACATTGGCAGTATTATGGGAAAGTATTTCAATAGTTTTGTGACTTATGTATTGGTGTAAAAATTTCAGGTGCAGCAGATTAGAAACAGATTGAAGGTCCACAAAAATACAGAAAAAGTAACAACTGCTGAAAGTCTGTTTTCACCTGTGGCCACCTCCAAAGGTCAAGCTATACTGATATCACAGGATGATATAAAGAAAGCTCTAGATAAGACAAGACCCTCAGTTCCTGCTGAAGAGAGACTTAAATACCAAAATATGTAAGTAAATACCAACATATTTCTGAAAATACCAACAGATTAAAGTAAATACCAACATATATCAGAAAATACCAACATATGTAAATAAATAACAACATATGTATGTAAATACCATCATATTAAAGTGAATATCAATATATGTAAGTAAATATCAACATATGTAAGTGAAAAGCTCTATATTTAAATGATTGAAACAGCAAGTGTACTATACAAGAAGGTATCAAATCAGTAGCCATATACTGTAAAGCAAATTATTTTCGTGAATACTTTATATCACGTTTAGTACATATTAGCTGACTTCCCAACAATTTATTTTTAAGATTTTAGAACATTGTTAAGGTTTTAGATATTAAGGAAAATTTCTAGGTTTGAAATTTTCTTGACTATTTATATATCATGTTTTCTTCTACTCACGAAGTCACGAAAATAAATCGCCTTAGGAAAATAAGTTTGTTTTCAGTTCTTTTGGCAAATGTTAAAACAATTAGAATAGGGAAAGATGACCTATATAAGTCCTATATAAGAAAATATAAGACCATTAGTACCTTAAGATTAAAGAATGGGTCAAAATACAAAAAATAAATGTTTGAAATTGGTAAAATAAAACAAGGCACCTGGTCCTTGTTGAAGAGCGATACAGACAGATGTAAGTAGAAGCAATGTTAAAGTTAAGTAATAAAATTGAGAATGGAAATGGGTTATGTGTCAAAGAGACAACAATCTGACCAAAGAGCAGAAAACAGCCCAAGGCCACCAATGGGTCTTCAATACAGTGAGAAAATCCCACACCCAGAGGCGGGCTTCAGCTGGCCCCTAAACAAAAATGTGTACTAGTTCAGAGGAAATACATCCAGTACATACAATCTTTGAGGAGAGAGGTTGAAATATCATGTAAAAGGAAGAAAGACTGAAACTGATGATCAAGACAAGACTTGTCAATTCCTGTGAAAGAGAGACCTAATATCTATGTTCATACACTTATATTATAATGACTAAAATTTAAAAGCTGTTAAAACTTTCATATTTTTATTGATTAAAGAATTTTTATTTTTTTTGTAATTTAAGAGCCCAAATATTTTGGTTGTTTATACATTGAACTTTGCAAACATCTCACATTCATAGATATATTTATTTCCTAAAATATTTTCAATTTTAAAGTATTTAAAAGATTTATTTACCTTTTCTCTATCACAAAGTATAAAGATTTGATCTGTCCAAGAAATTGAAAATTACAATTTACTAATGAACTGTCAAAATTGAATATATATCTGATTTACCCTTTAGAATTGTAGTAAAAAGACTTTCAAGAATTACATTTTAGACAAAGCAGAGAAAACACTAGTTATGTCCCTTTGCACTGTAAGCTGTTAGTTGTGTAGATGAGAAAATCTAGTTTTCTCCCTTTGCATATGGTTTCTTAAAATGAATACTCTAATACTTCATTTAAATTTCAATAATCTTTTATGAACCATAGCAAACAAAAATATTTTGAAAGATTTTATGACTTTGTTAGATCAAAATTTGAATAATACAAGGATAGAAAAATATAATCACAAAGTATCATATATGAAACTTCTGTTTGTGAACTCTGCTTAATTGTGGAAAATTCAAATGTTTTGCATGCTGATTGTTCTTCCAATTAATTTAATTGATAACATTTGTGTTTTGTTACCTTCTGTGTTGTCAAATGTTGTCAGCATTGTATTCCTCACTTTTGTCTGTTGTTAAGAGACACATAGCCTGTGGTTCGGTGTAAGTTGATTATTATTTGCATGAACCCTTCAGTTCTGTCTCATAACTTGGAACAGTACCACTAAATCACTATATTGTCAATAGTTTCTCATCACTATCCATAATCATCTTCTGTCCTTTTGTATCCATTTAGTAGTCAATATTTGGGATTCTTTGGTCATAATCAGCATCAACAACTTCATCATTGTTGTTGATCTTTTTGTTGCCACCATTCATTAGTTGACATATATGGCTGTTGTCACAATTCAATGGTTGACCTGAAGCAATTGTCACCAGGAAATTCATTGTTACCATTCATTTGATGGAGGCAGTACTGTGACCTGTAGTTGCTAACCTTTTATGTCATTTGATCTCTTCACTGGCAATCTTATCACTTCTTCTTATTTTCATATGACTATTGTCACAACTCAATTGTTGATTAATGGATTCATCACCATTTAATGTTTTACATATATCTGATGTCAATCATCAGTAGTCAATTTTTGTTTTTTTATGCCCCCGCCGCAGCGGAGGGAGCATTAAGTTTTACCCTTGTCCGTCTGTACGTCCGTACGTCCGTCCGTCCCAAAGCTGGTTTCCGTTCTCTAACTTTAGTTTGCCTCTTCCAAATGTTATGAAACTTATACACAATGCTTATTACCACAAAACACAGATCGAGTTTGAAAATGGGTGGCGTCTCTTATACCGTTCTTGAGTTATGCCCCTTTATAAACATAAAAATTGCTGAATTTTTCGTTTCCGTTCTCTTACTTTAGTTTGCCTCTACCAAATGTTATGAAACTTATACACAATGCTTATTACCACATAATACAGATCAAGTTTGAAATTGGGTGGCGTCACTTATACCGTTCTTGAGTTTTGCCCCTTTATAAACATAAAAATTGCTGAATTTTTCGTTTCCGTTCTCTAACTTTAGTTTGCCTCAACCAAATATTATGAAACTTATACACAATGCTTATAACCACATAATACAGATCAAGTTTGAAATTGGGTGGTGTCACTTTTACTGTTCTTGAGTAATGCCCCTTTATAAGCATAAAAATTGCTGAATTTTTCGTTTCCGTTCTCTAACTTTTGTTTGCCTCAACCAAATGTTATGAAACTTATACACAATGCTTATCATTACAGAATACAAATCAAGTTTGAAATTGGGTGGTGTCACTTTTACTGTTCTTGAGTTATGCCCCTTTATAAGCATAAAAATTGCTGAATTTTTCGTTTCCGTTCTCTAACTTTAGTTTGCCTCAACCAAATGTTATGAAACTTATACACAATACTTATTACCACAAAACTCAGATCAAGTACAAATTAGGGTAGCGTCACTTATACCGTTCTTTAGTTATATCCCTTTATACCTTTATTAGATATGCAAGCGGGGGCATCATCTGTGTCCCATGGACACATTCCCCATTTATTGTTATTATCCCATAGTCACCTTTTGTCTGTTGTCTGATCTTCAATATTTGCCAACATTCTGCAGTCATCAATTTGTGGCCAACAAATGTCTGCTTGCACTATTATGTGGTTAGGATTTATTTGTTGTCACCATCTTTGTAGTTAGTTGTCAACAGTTTGTGGTCAGCAGTTGCCATTATGATTCTTCTTCTAGCAGATGTCTATCATTTTAAATAAGTAGTCAATTACAGCTTTCCTAATGTCTTGACTCTGACAAGTCAGTACAATACATTTTTGCCATATTTTGTCAGTACAATAATTGTCAGTTTATGCCAGTTTGTAATTGTTTTCTTTTACAAACCATTCTGTAGTTTTCTGTTCTTAGTGTATAAATCCAATTATGTTTATGAAATGATGAATGCTGTCTGTCATGGTATATAATTTCAATTTCCAGAGATTGTGTTTTGAGGAGCAAATTTGATCTTTACCAAATTTGGATTTGCAAAGCCTCTTGAGAAGAGGAAATCGGCTTTTGAATTTTAAGTTACACTAATTCAAGGTGAAGATTACAGGTGTTATATGTAGAAATTCAAGAAACTATGGGTTTCAGATGATATCAGTTGGATCATGCATCTTATTGTGTCTAGATAGTGTCCATAATGGAGATGGAGACTTGTATTAGATATCAAAGTTTAGTCATGGCAGCTGTATAAGACTGAAATTTTCTAGAAAATATTGGTTTTAGGATGTCATCTTTTGTTTTTATAATGCAGTTTCTTACTGGCTTTTCAAGATTGTTTCTCATTAGCATTTTAATTTTTGGTTGATGTTTCACTGGCACTTTCTCAACTTCATTCTGTTATATTTTAACTGTCCTCTTCTTCTTTTTTTAGATTTTTTTTTTGTATTATTATTTTGAGAGATAAATTTAGTTTATGTATTGACTGTTCTGATTGTTCTGTACTTACCGATTGTCCTCTTTTAAATATTTTTATAAAATCCTGTTGTTTTATATCAATAACTGCTGAATCAGTAATTATCTAAAGTTTCATATTGTCAGCATCATATTTTGATACAAATCTAGTATTAAAATATCTGGTTTTGTTATAATACTAGTTTCAAATTCAGAAAATTCTAAACTTTAAAGCTTTCTGTGAAAATTGCCACGTTTTGTGAATATTTCTTGCAATTGTGGTTGTTTCATAAGCAAATATTTTTACAAATCTAATGTAAAAAAAGGTCTGTGGGCACTCTGGTTTCATCACTCAGTTAAAACTGACAGCCACGATATATCCAATAGTGCTGAAAGTGGCAAGAAATCCCAACAATCAATCAATCAAAATTCAGAAAATTCTATACACAACATATCTGTTATTCATGATTAATTCAATATCTTGCTGTTTTTTTTTGGCAACAAATTTTAAATACTTCAAAACTTTCTGTGAAATACACGTGTGTCTTAAATATTTCTTTTCAGTGCCACTGTTGCAGACTCCTTTACATAGAGGTTTCACATAAACACTTATATTAGCAATCTGTATATGTTGACTAAATTTGAAAAAAAAAAACTAAAACATGCTTTAAAGATTACATGTACTTTTAAGAATGTCATGCTTTCACATCATGTCCATAAATTTAAGAAATAATTTGGAAAGAGTGAATAATGAAACATTTATCTTCAAATAAACCTTTGTATCTTTATCATTTTGAAGTTACAAAACATGTATTCCTCAGAAATTTCTTGTATTCTAAAATAGCTTACATTAACAAACTTGTTGGAGACTCTTTTGATCAGCCGGTTTCCAGTTGTGAAATTAAGGGTTATTTTTTTCCACCAAAACAGATACTCAATTTGACTTGACATAATCACTATTGAAACTAATTATAAAGTTGGAGTGATGCATTTCACAAACCATTGATAAATATAAAAGATTTGTAATACTCATTTAAAAAATCAATTTGTCAAAATTGGTAGAATTCTATTTGATCACCAAAGCTAACAATGCGAATTTTATTCTTTCTAAAGATTTATATCTGATTAGCTTGAATGGATAAATTTCACAAATAGGGCTAATTTTCTGTAATATCAATGTGTATTCCACGATGAATAGGTTTATATTTTGACTAAACTTATTTGAAAAAATGAACACAAAAGAATTTAATTCAGTTCTTTTGATTAGCTTTTGGTAAATATTGACACCCTGGAGTGATGTTGAATAGGGATGTCAAATAGAGTCAAAAATTAACTGCAAATTTCTATTGATAGCAAGCATCGCCAAACAAATGCTAAAACGCTTGCATTCAATGTTATACAATAGACGTTGAATTCAAAATCACAACAGGGCTTTGTTAAGCCAAAAATTAAATAAAGCCGGTGTGTTTCTCTGATTACTGGTTACCAATTGCAAGACCTCGCCAATGTTTGCCTTGTTATATAGAAAGGCAGCCAGAAAAAATTTATCGAAATAAGCTTTGTCAACTTTTATTTAAGTAGTTAATGACCAAACAAATTTTTCTGTTACTTCATTGTAATAGTATTCAAAAGAATAACAAAAGCAAGGGAAGATACACTGAATAAGGATTTTGTGATAAACTATAATTTGAGATGTTCTTTTTGAGTAACAGGAGACTTTGGGTGTTGCATGGTGAAGGAAATATGCAGTTTGCTATTCAAAACAATTGATTTTTATGCAGAATGTCAAAAATGAAATTAATTTTTGCTTGTGTATGGTCTAAAGCCTATTTTGCAATGAATATTTAATTGAATTTTAATAGCATGTTTAGTTGTTAGTTTTTCATAACCTGTACTTGTGACATGGATGTCAAATTTATCCTCTTTTATTTGGACAAATAACTTTTTATTTTTTATAAAGTTTCTTATTTGATGGGTGTTATACCAATTTAAGATGTACTTTCGCACTACTTATTGTCACAGTAACAAATAACATATACACCTGTACATTGATTGATTTATGAAATTCTGCGTACTTTTTTTGAACAGTAACAAATCACTGTCAAAGCTATGAGAAGAGGGATTTCAGAGAACATTACGATTTCTTATACTTACAATGAAATTATTTTTTTAACATTTAGATACTTTAAAGTATGTACCCGGTATGTGATAAATTCCATAGAAATAAAAATTATAAACACTGATTGTTGTTCTTTAAAAAATAAACCCAGAACATCTCCTTATTCATATATTCTTGAACATTATGTGAAAATAATGTGTACTCAAATCTTGATAAAATCAGTGTTGTTTTGAAATAACATTAGAAGTACCTAGTATTATAAATTTTCTGTAATTGAACATAGGAAAAAAGAAAATAGAATAAATATAAAAGACTGACGGAGCATTATAATGATGCCACCAAACAAATTATGGTTAGACAAAACCGAAAAAAGAAAAAGTCTGAAAACATAATATAATCATACAAATTTCTTCATATTCCGATGGTATAATATGTTAAACAATATCCTGAGTTCATCTGTTCTGCCAAAACCATTCATCAGAGAACAATGATGCCTGTGAGTTAAGTGTCATCTCAAAGAATGAAATCTAATTTGATGTCATTTTCTGTGTCGCCTTTCATTGTCCTAACACAATATACCATTGACTTAATCTGTTGTGAAAACAACAAAATTCAACATCAGATGACAATGTGGAATTAGTCGGTTGTAATTTGTGAAGAGGGATGTCGAAGAGAGGTCAATTTAACAATAGAAATGCTTAAAAAATGTTTGATTGACCAAAAAATTGAAGAATTATTAAAAAAGATTACTTCTGGTCTAAATAAACAAATCCAACTGTTTTATTGAGGGAACTGAATAAAAAACATCTTGGAAAAAAGCAATGTCAAATTCTTAGTCTGGAAGCATTTATAGAAAGAAGATAAAATTTTAAATGGGTTTAATTTTTATGCTTCATTAGAACTAACACTCAGATATATTTATGCCACTGAACAAATTATTTAAAAATCTTTTACTTAGATTTTATTTTTTTAAAAAGAATTGTTAGTAAATAAACATTTTATTGATGTAAGGATTTTTTTATTGATAGAAATGTATTGGTATTTAAGAGATGTATTAGGAATGATAATGTATTTAAACATATTTTATTGTAGATTTAATGTTGTTGTGCAGATACATTTGAAAGTAAAATGGATAATATAAAATAATGGTTGCCAATGAGATATCTATCCAGCATATTAGAAATGACATGAAGTTTATTTAAAAAGAAATAAAATAAATGTAATTGTTTTTTTTTCTTTCTTTTTTTTCAGTTATGAGAACTTTGTTTCGTCACGAGGTGGTAATTTCGCTCAAAACATCATGGATGCTGCAGGACAAAGACAAACATGTGCATGAAGAATTGTTATTACAAATATTTGGGAAAAAAGAAGCTTTTGAAAGGATAGTACATGGCAAGTGTAACTTCTCTGGTGCTACATGAGAAAAAAAATATTTTTCATGAGAACAGCTGACTTTGTTAGAACTAAATTGTTGAAAATTTCATTGCAGGACCTGCTGATTGTTTCTTTATTATTGCCTATCTTGACCATTATAAATCAATAGAATGGCCAAACTATTGGAAATAAAGTATGGCAGAACAGTTCTCTGTGATGTACATGCCAAATTTATTTCTTTTGAGCACTATGGCCATAAAAAAGTTTTGGAACTGGTAGCAACGAGAAATGTTTATTTTTTATTTTCAGAATAACTATGGAATTACATGAGGTATATGTGTAAACAGTTTATAGGTTGCAACTACTTATGTCGTGTACTTAACTCAAACAATTGTTACAGACTTGCTTAGTTATTTTTGGAGAGCTAATTTTTGAACATTTAGTGTATCATGATCACATACAGAAAGATATGTATTTTGTTGGGGTTGATTGACTTTCTTAAGTAAACTTCGGACTTGGAAAATTAAAAAAAAAATGACTATTTTTTAAAACCAGCTCTGAAACTCATTTTTTGTACATAAGTGTATAAGGATATCTTTCAGATTAAGTTTGTGTTTTATTCCAGTTGACAGATACTTGCATAATTTAAGTGTGAATTTTATTCCTGTTTATTAGCATTTGTTAAGTCTTTCTCTTAAACATTATTGTGAAAATTATATTTGTATGAAATCCTTCCAGTATGCCTTGAGGGATTCATGACTTCTGTTTTTTAACATGAACATTTTGTGATAATGTAATGGCATTTTTGAAGTCATGAACACAGTGTTGACAGTGTATGAACTAAGTAAACCTCACCTTTCATATGGATTCCAGGCAATTAGGCTGCAGGCCCCAAACCCCAACTCCTCCTGGGCATTTTACTGATATATGTATGTTCAACTAAACATATATTGTATTCTTTCTAAACAGTTCCTAAATAGGGAGCAGCATGATTTGTTATAAGTATTTGAAAGGTTATACAAAAAATTCCTATTCTTCATTATAAACTCGGTTTGCTTTGCATTTTTTCTGTAATCTTTGGACCTGATTCTAATGAAATCCAACCAGTGAGCATAGAAGTATGATATGCAAGTGATCTCCATTAGCAATCTTTGTATGTGTCTATTGTTGACAACTTGCAAGAAACTCTTCTCAGCTGATGGAGAGGAATGAGTGCCATTTATATTCAATTTATGAAATATAAATTGAACAATTTATAATTATGAAATAAAAGAATGAAATCCACTTTATTAATTACCTTCAGTCTGTGTTTTAAGAAATATAGCATTTATTGCTTATAATGCCTTTCTAAAAATCAGTAGATGTTGATATAAATTATTGTAATGCATTTTATTTATTGCTGTTGATTATTTTAATTTTTAAGTTTGAATAATTTTGATACAAACAAATTGAAATAAAATTGGTTAAAAATGAATCTTAAGTAATCAATTATTCATAGAAGTAGAAACAGAGATGTATAACCAGTTATGATCGAGCCTGTTCAAATCCATTGAAGTCCTGAAATATAGGGTTTCTTTTTGAAACTTTCTTATGTTTAAAATCTGTTATCAGACATAAAAACAATGATTCTTTAAGTCTGATTTAGCTGTCATGGTTCAGCCAAGACAGTGAGTGTATTAAAGTGAAAGAAGTTTATGGTGTAAATGTTTCTAGCACAAAGTACTAGACACAAGGACAAAAAAGTTATTACACTCAACCAAGTCCAGGTTTATCATAAAAAAAAATGCTGATGGCATTATTTATTATTGATCTATAATTTTCTTATTAGATTTAAGAAGATGTGGTATGAGTGCCAATGAGACAACTCTCCATCCAAGTCACAATTTGTAAAAGTAAACCATTATAGTTCAAAGTACGGCCTTCAACACGGAGCCTTGGCTCACACCGAACAGGAATCTATAAAGGGCCCCAAAAATGACTAGTGTAAAACCATTCAAACAGGAAAACCAAAGGTCTAATCTATATAAAAAACGAGAAACGAGAAACACTTATGAACCACATCAACATACAACAACCACTGAACATCAGGTTCCTGACTTAGGACAGGTGCAAACAAATGCAGTAGGTTTAAACATTTTAATAGGCGCCAACCTTCACCCTACCTGAAACAATAGTGTAACATCACAACATAGAAAGACACACTATAAAATATCAATTGAAATGGCTTAACTCAATCAAAAGACATATTAAAAAAAACAAGTGAACATACACTGAACAAATAAATTTGATCTATGACACAATGTAAATACAAAATTAATAAAACAAGGGGGTTAGATGTAAAACAATATCAGAAAGACAACCATAACCTTGGACAAAATGCCGCCAAATAAAATAACGTTAACAGGTAAATAAAAATAATTTTGTTGTAAGGTATACATGGAGTACGAAATAATTTTTACAAAATGATTAATTTTGTTGTTTCTTGTACGAGAACAAAAGTGAAAATTTATCGTCATACTAAACACTGATCAAAGGTGGTATATATTAAAAATAGTGAGACGAGATATAACACTAAATAAGGAAACATTAAATAACAAAAATACATTACAAATTGTATCAACAGGTCAAATTAACAATTTATTTACGATTTGAGAGTACTCACAGTTACTGAAAGCTAGTTAAAAGCCAAAAACAATTAATAACAAGAGTGCACACGCTGAAATGCCTGTTTTACTGACCATTGATTTTATGTTGAAAGTCTTAAAGGTTTTACTACAAGTATCACATAAACTTAACATTCTTAAAAATCCATGACAATGAGGTCAAGGTCAGATAAAAACTGTCACACAGACATGTACACCTAACAATTATTCCATACACCAAATATAGGTGACCCATTGATTAAAAACAGACCAAAACAAAAAATTAACAATGACCAATGAACCATGAAAAAGAGGTAAAGGTCAGATGAAACCTGCCAGTCTGATATGTACCCCTTACAATCATTCCATACACCACATATAGTTGACCTGCTGCTTGAAGTATCAGAGAAATGGACCTAATCACGTAACTTTTAACCTTGATCAATGATCCATGAATTGAGGTCGAGGTCAGGTTAACCCTGTATGACGGACACATCATATGTAGACGTTGCAAGAAACCCATATACCAAATATAGTTATCATATTACTCATAATAAGTGAGAAATTCACATGGCAAAAAACAGTAATTTCTTTTCAAGCAGTCACTGAACCATGAAAATGAGGTCAAGGACAATGGGCATATGACGGACGGAAACTTCGTAACATAAGGTATCTGCATACGAGGTATGAAGCATCCAGGTCTTCTACCTTCTGTAATATAAAGCTTTATACAAATAGTTTACGCCGCCGCCACCGCGTAAAGTAATACCTATGTCTCGCATACTGCGACGAAAGTTGCAGGCGAGACAATAAAAAAATCTTGCTTCAGAGACTAACATTCATTTCAATATTTTGCACAATAAGTTTTTAGTTGCATATCCTGACATATAGATGAATAATTTAAACAGTATTACAGTGACTTGACTCTTCCTACTGCAGTTCAGTAAAAAATCTGATCTTTGAGTTTTTTCATTAAATCAAGCTGTCCAACTGGTCAGATTTTATTTAAGCTTCTTTAGAGGTCAAAGTAAAGTCCTCAATGTCGGAAGTGAAAGTTTGAGGAAAAAAGTGTATTTGCAAACTATTTTATTTGATACTCATAATCTCTTTCATCATGACTGCTGAATTTTACCCTTCCTGTGCACCTGAGATCACCCCCAGTTTTTGTTACAAAAAATAATGTACTTAGTCTTTAGTTATCTGTGTATTGTTTTTCTTGTTAAGTTGTCTTTTGTTTTTCGCCAATGCATTGTCAGTTTCTCTTTTTGACTTAGTCTTTTAGTTATCTGTGTATTATTTGTCTTTGTTAAGTTGTCTTTTGTTTTTTCGCCAATGCATTGTCAGTTTCTCTTTTTGACTTAGTCTTTAGTTATCTGTGTATTATTTGTCTTTGTTAAGTTGTCTTTTGTTTTTCGCCAATGCATTGTCAGTTTCTCTTTTTGACTTAGTCTTTAGTTATTTGTGTATTATTTGTCTTTGTTAAGTTGTCTTTTATTTTTCGCCAATGCATTGTCAGTTTCTCTTTTTGACTTAGTCTTTAGTTATCTGTGTATTATTTGTCTTTGTTAAGTTGTCTTTTGTTTTTCGCCAATGCATTGTCAGTTTCTCTTTTTGACTTAGTCTTTAGTTATCTGTGTATTATTTGTCTTTGTTAAGTTGTCTTTTGTTTTTCGCCAATGCATTGTTAGTTTCTCTTTTTTACTTAGTCTTTAGTTATCTGTGTATTATTTGTCTTTGTTAAGATGTCTTTTGTTTTTCGCCAATGCATTGTCAGATTCTCTTTTTGAATGCCCCCTTGATATCTTCCCCCTTTGTAAAGTCATAAGATAGTTTCGTTAGTCATTATTGATCTGCTTTAAAACTGTCAGTTTTAGCCTTTTTATTATTTTTCTTAAAATGTCTATGGCCAGTATCTTTATAAGAACATGGAAGTAATATTACCTCCATGATAAGAACAAGACCAATTCTGGGTCTGGGCCTGGGCCTGCATCGCTGCGTGCATTTGTTTGTGAACACATGTTCGAAAGCATAATTGATCATTCCCTTCCATAAAAGCCAAGAAAAGTTTGACAAAAATTCAAACTTTTGGCAAACAGGTAGTGGTTGAACTGCTGATGTAATAATTGCTTACAAGCAACAATTAAACATTATCAAGGTACAGACCAAATTCAAAATCATTCCCTTTCATAGAAGAAAGAATAGACAAAAGTTTTTTATTCAGAGTCGAATGGTTACTAGAACTGCTTTCGCTGTTGGTCTGCCAAGTAAAAAAGCTTTCATTGAACTACAACCTAAGATATTGAGTGAGACATACAGTCAGAAGCCTGTTGTTCAGTGGTTGTCGTTTGTTGGTGTGGTTCAGAAGTGTTTCTCGTTTCTCGTTTTTTTCATAGATTAAACCGTTGGTTTTTCTGTTTGAATTGTTTTACACTAGTCTGTTTGTGGCCCTTTATATCTTGCTGTTCGGTGTGAGCCAAGGCTCATTGTCGACGGCCGTACTTTGACCTATAATTGTTTATTTTTTACACATTGTGACTAGGATGGATAGTTGTCAAATTGGCACTCATACCACATCTTCTTATTTATATTTAGCCAAAATTTGCTTTCAATAAGTTTGAGTTGTAGATAATATAAGTTCATATTCTACACCATTTTTATATGAGATAGAAATTGGATAGTCTTTGATTGAAGTTTAAATTAAAAACTTGTTTTGCTGAACGTTGATGTATAAGTCATACCATTATGGTATTCCCATTTTGAAAAGCATTAGATACCAAATATTGGATATTGGGAAGAATCAAAAGTTGAAAAAGCATAAATCTAAAAACATCACCCAGAAGAAAATAAAGAAAATCCTTCCATAAGAAAAACATTAATGTTTGAAAAAGGGGAAAAGGAGCACCCACTGAAGAAAAAGACTTTTCGAAATGGACATCATTTGTAAAATAGATTTAGTTATATTGCACGATTGATAGTGCCACTGCTGGTGATTAACAAGTTTGTGAAGGCATCATCTATCTGAAAGTCTGTTTTAGAACAGGATATATATTATTTTGCTATTGATAATTGAGAAAGTTTCCATTGATAAAACAATGTAAAGTAAGATGGTGGCCTTGGGCTGTTTTCTGCTCTTTGGTCGGGTTATTGTCTCTTTTACACATTCCCCGTTTCCATTCTCAATTTTATCTTAATTTGGCATCAGTCAGAAGCAATCTAACATCAATTTCATATGAAAAGAAGGACATACGACTGTTCTCAGGGTTGGCAGGTAATATAAATTGGATGAGCTCACATTGAAACCGATTTGAAGCATGTCTTAGCTAGAACAATATTTCAGACAAAGTTTGGATTCTACGAATGTTCTTATTGTTCATTGACAGTCAACAAATCGGTCCGCCAACTTTTCAGAAACTTATTCATTGGTTTGCTGTGGTATTTTTTCTGGTCCCGACTATGCATGGACTATTTGTGACTGGACACACGACGTGATATTTCCAACACCTACTATTGTGTTATTTGTTAGTTTAATGATGATTTATGATTAAATCCAGATTCTTGAAACAGAATTCTCACATTATACTGTTACAGTGTCTGGTTTAGGTTTGGGGTAAACCACAAATACGATCTAACTTGTTAATTGTACTGTAAAATAGTGAGGGATGAAACTCGTTGAGCAGACATGAACAGCCTTGGTAGGATGGTTGTTGCATTAATTTTAAATCGACATCTCAACTTTCCTTCAATGATTTTTCGTCCAGAAAGATATTTGCACACAAAGCGTGCTTTATAGTGACATAAATGTTTTAGGCGATGCCTTTGCTCTTCTTTACTG